GGGGGGGGAGGGGGGCCTACCCGCCACTCTGACTGTTCACACACCCGGCCACGGGGGAGGGGGGCCTACCCGCCACTCTGACTTGGTTGGCAGCACAGGCTCTGCAGGGAAGCACCCGGAACTCCTCGGCCTGGTGCATGGAGTAGTCGGTGCTGGCCACCACCAGCGTGTCTCCCGGCCTCCACGTCTGCACGTCGTCCTCAAGACTCAGGACGGTGCTGTTCACGTTGGTGTCGATGCTGACCGTGAGTTTGGGCCTCACTGTAACCCAAAGCAGGAGGGACTGAGGCCCAGCACCTGCTCCCCCTCCCCCCACACTTCTGGCTGCCCACTTCTTCCCTTCCCCTTGCTGAATACGTAAATGCTAGGTTTGCCTGTCCAAAACCCAAATCACCAGACTCTCCATCTCAGCATCGATACAGTCAAGTCTTTGAAGTCAACAAAGTCCCAACCCCAAAAGAACCATTCATTAGCTCTGGGCAGGGGAATTTTCCACTCCCTTCTTCTAGGCTGGAGTTAAATGTGGCTGCCCACCACACCCACTTTGCTGAAGATGTAAAACAAATATAGTTCCTCTCAACTATTGTGTGCCGTCCTCTCAGCAGGCCCATCCCCGGTGACCGCCTTTTGGAGATGGCCGAGTGCCTCCAAGAACAACAGCACCGCCAGCCTCCTAACCAGCGCCCTGGGACGTGGCACCCAGCTAACAGCACCCCAGAGCCTCCGCAGGAAGGGGTGGGGAGGCCAGCTCTGTCCCTCTGCACCCTGCTACTCCCGGACCAGGCCCTGCCCTTCCCAGAAAGTTCCAGACAGGCTTAAGGGCAGGGTGGGGCTCTGCCGAGTGGCCAGCTGCGGGGACCCTGCTCCTACTGGTGCTGCCTGCTGTGAGGAGCCGGTCGCTGTGACGCCCAGAGTGGCCGGCCAGCCATGGAGCTCAGAGAGCAGCCTGGCTGCCGGCTGGGAGGCCCAGGCTCACCAGACTTCCCGCAGAGGAAGCGCACGCGGTAGCGCTGGCAGGCGTGGCCAAGGTCGTGGCAGGCAAACCTATAGCCCTGGCCCTTCTTATAGACAATGTCGGTGCTGAGGTCAACGCCATCCGGGGTTGTGGCCTGCAAATGGCACAGAAATTACAGAGGAGACTTAAAAAGAAGGAAGGATGTGATGGTTAACGTCCTCAAAATATCCTGGGAGACTTAAAATTGCCCTCGCTGTGAACATACATACAATGGCCAGAGATTCGCCTAACAACCGTCCACATGAGGTTCATTGTAAGGCAGACAGCAGGAAGTCTTGGGGTGAGCACAGTAGTGACATGACACACCCTGTGGGGCCTGAGCCGGCTGCCACGCCGCCTGCAGGTCGCTTACGGAGGCCTTGCTACGTTCAGCCTGCGGGTGCCCAGCAGGCGTCCACGCCGTGCGGGCAGTCCTAGAGAAATACTTGTGCCCAGAAGCTCAGGAGCTCCGATGGGGCATCAGGGCTGTTAAACGCTACCCAGGAGATCCTAACGTAAGACCCACCATTGTAGGGACAGGGCTAAATGTTAACAGGTCTCAGTTATCTCCACAGCCAAACTGTGAAGTTGTGGTTAGTTTTAAGAGTAAGGAAAATGGCTACTCAGAGATGTTGAATAACTTGCCAGGGAAAGCCAGTAGGAGAAAGAACCAGAATGTGAATACGGACGTGCAGCTGGGCTCCCCGCGCTGCCCCTCCTGCCCTGCTCCACCTGGCATGCTTGCATGCTTTGCTGTGTCTGCCTCCTCCCAGTGCACTGCGGTCTCCAGGAGCACAAGGAGAGGTCTCAGCCTGCCCGGCCCTGGCGTCTAGCACAGCGCCGGGCAACGGGCCTCAGACCCTGGGAATTGCTGCTCCAGAAGACACGGACCAAGGAGAGAGTTCAGGGGGTGCACTCAGAGGGGGCGGGATCCCTGCCACTGTGCGCTCATCCCAAGGCCCGGGTGTGTCTACACTAAGACAATGCCATTCAGAGACCAGAAATTCAGAGCCAGGGCCACCGCTGTTGTAGTCTTTGGCACAAAAACCAAAGGGACAAGGCCTGGAGAAATAGGGAAGGAAAGCACAGTCAACCTTTAAAAAAGAGGCTTTTTAGGAAACACTGTTTGGAACCCAACAGATCCTTTGTGTTAAGAGAATGATGCCAAGATGCACAATTGAAACCCTTTCTGGGAGAAGCCTGCTGACTTCCACTACCTCAGTGTCCAACAATTCCCAGAGAACAGCTACTTGTTCTGCTGCTTCCTCTTGTTTTCCCATGTAACCTGAAGAATGACCCCGGTATTGGAGGGAGGAGAGCCAAGTGACAAGGTGGCGTGAGATCCTCAACAATGAAGCTTCCCTTGCAGGTGGCTGGGCGCTTGGTACCTGAACATCGATGGGATGGCTGCAGATTCTTCCTGCGTGAGCTGCCCAGAGGTCTGAAATCTTCTCCCCACCTTTAGTCTGAGACACTTTGTCCTGGTCGAACCATTCTGTCCACTCCACATCTAGGCAGAAAGAAAGACAGGGTGAGACGCAGTGCCGCTGTGAGGGGCTGGTGCTGTCTCTCCATGGTGCGCTTCACTGAGCAGGAGACTCTAACCAATCTCCAGCTCTCCTCTCCGCACCTTGTGAGTGAGAACCTTCTGATCGACACTCTTGCTTTATGAAGGATACATATGCACCTATAACGTGATACGTTGTTACTGCAAAAGTGAAGGAAGAGAGGAGAGAAAAGTCCATCATCTGAAGACGGCCCCTTGGCCTCAGCCTCTGCAATCCTGTGCATGGCTGCTGGAAGGCCAGGCTGAGTCTCAGCCATCTGCTTCCTGCCCACGCCATTCCTGAAAACAACCCCGCCCCCCCACGACCCTCCATGGCTAAAGTCCTGAACCCTTTGTGCGATGAAAAGGACCTTGGCCAGTGAGAAAAATCCTTGTGGGAAATTTGTCAATGTGGTTAATTGAAGACAGCCATCTTTGCAGTGAAGTTATTCTTACTGTCCTGAAAAGCCTGTGGTTTTGGGGTGTTTGACTCGGCTGCCAGGTGTTGCTGGGCTGTGTCAGACTCCTTACCTTGGACCCACTCACTGGATGAGGAAACATTGAAGTATTCACCGTGCTCCGTCTGGAACAGTTTGTAAACTCGGGCGGCAGCAGAGCCTCCATGTCCTGTGAGACAGAGCAGAGGCCAGACAGACCCCAAATTACAAAGCTGGGATTCCAACACGGACAAAGTCTCCTACACCCATGGAACGTGAACGATTTGTTTAGGAAAGGGCTTTCCCCCGCCCAAGCAGGCCAGGCTGGTCGCCCAGAAGGCAGGTGATTATCTGTCCCAAAGTTCCATCACAGCCTCCAAACAAGGGCAGGTCTGGGAGCCCCACTGCCCCTCCTGCCTGAGTTCTCCCAGGGTGAGAACGGCGGAGCTGCCACCACCGGGAGGCTGCCAGGACAGACCCTCCACAAGTCTCCAGCTCAAAGCATCACCCGCGAGCTCCCAAAGCTCAGAGCGCGTCAGCAGGCTCTTGGAAGGGCCTCCGCTGCTGTAGCTTTGCCACATTTGTGCCATGTGGTCAGGAAAGCAGCTGGACCCTAACTGGGGGGCTGGCACGGTAACGGGGGTGGGCGTGGGTAACGGGGGTGTAACGGGGGTGGGCGTGGGTAACGGGGGTGGGCGTGGGTAACGGGGTGGGCGTGGGTAACGGGGATGGGCGTGGGTAATGGGGGTGTAACGGGGTGGGCGTGGGTAACGGGGGTGGGCGTGGCTAACGGGGGTGTAACGGGGTGGGCGTGGGTAACGGGGGTGGGCGTGGCTAACGGGGGTGTAACGGGTGGGCGTGGGTAACGGGGGTGTAACGTGGGTGGGCGTGGGTAACGGGTGGGCGTGGGTAACGGGGGTGTAACGGGGGTGGGCGTGGGTAACGGGGGTGTAACGGGGTGGGCGTGGGTAACGTGGGTGGGCGTGGGTAACGGGGGTGTAACGGGGGTGGGCATGGGTAACGGGTGTAACGGGGTGGGTGTGGGTAACGGGGGTGTAACGGGGTGGGCGTGGGTAACGGGGGTGTAACGGGGTGGGCGTGGGTAACGGGGGTGTAACGGGGTGGGCGTGGGTAACGGGGGTCAGCACGGGTAACTGTGCCTTAGAGACATGGCAGAGAAGGCAGAGACGGGCCTCCCGCCAGCCACTCATTACCGTGATACTCAATGTGGTCTTCAACCGAGGAAGAGGGGTTTCCTTTCACGGTGATGAAGCTCCACGGGTGTCTGGAAAACAGTAAGTGAAGTCCTTCACGCCCTCAGCCCTCACGGGACAGGGCCCCGAGTTCGTTACTGGGCAGATCTCTCTTCCTCAAGACCCAAGAGACCTTCATGGTAAGTGCTGATTTGGGCTCTGTCCAACTAGCCCGCTGCGTCTCACCTGAGCCCCTTCCACTTCTCCATGACAGTGGGAGAGGATAAACCACAAAGAAGCAGCTGACTGCATGCCGGGAACAATGAAGTCCCGAAGCAAGCCTCAGGCCAGCGTGTCCAGAGAGGAAAGTGATGCCTTCCAAGTTCATCTCCTCTGAGTTGAACTCAAGGAAAATGTCCCAGGCCTCGGGGACTGGCTCTGGCCTTGGGGGGAGATGAAAGTCTCCTCCATGTAATGAGGAAGAAAGTTGCACACCCATCTTCCCTGCTGAATTAAAGTGCACTGCACTGAGGCAGGAGGGTTTTCTTCACATGGCGTCGGCATCGGCATCGTCACGCCCAGTTCAGTGATGGGGAGGGAAACACTGTCCTAAAGGGCAGCACGCTGGAGGAATCTGAGAAACCGCGGCCCTCTGACCCTCCTCCCCGCCTCCTCTCCTCCCACACCTCGGGAAGGGCCTGGACAGACAGGCTGTCCCCACAGATCACACTGGGCCGTGACCTCTGCCCACCCTAGTGTCCACAACACCTAGTATGACAGTGCTCACATGTAACTATTTCATGTGAAGCGCATTGAATATAGGAGCTGGTCTGCTTTTCTCCCGAGGACCAGTCTTTTTGTTACTAGAGTCCCGGCAAGGACTTAGAAGGGCTACACAAAAGTATCTTTCCTTCTCCTTTGCTGCTGAAGAGCTTTTCTGTTTTGGGACTGAATTGAGACTAAAGGCTCTGCTCTGCCACTTGCTTACTTAAAATCTTTCGGTGGCTCCCCATGGGCTGGAGGAAGGAAAATCCAAGCTCCACAGCATGGAGTCAGACCACCACATGCCCCGCGGCTCAGCCCTCGCCTTCCCACAGGCGAGTACCTTCCCAGACCCCCCTCCTCGGCAGAGCCACGCTTCCTCCTGCCTCGCAAGCCGATGCTCTCCCCACAGGGCGCCTGCCCCACCCCGTAAGTCTGCACCAAGTGTCATCCATGAATCCCTGTTTTCTCACATGAACTCTGCACGTCTGGCCCAGCCCCGTGCCTCCTCCTTAACCACTCCCGAACCAATGAACAAAGGTCAGAGCGAAGTGTGCTTCTGCCTGCCTGTCTCCTTCCCCGTGTGCTGCCGAGGTGAGACATGTTGGCATCAACCACCCTTCCCCTGGCTCTTGTTGGTAAGGATGGAGCAGTTGCCACCATGGCTGAGTGCATATTCTGGGCCAGGTAGGTGACCACATGGAGCCCTCCCAGGAGCCCTTTGCAACAGATCCTGAGATAGTTCACTTTACAGACACGAGATCCAGGCAGGTGGAAGAAGAGTCACTGGCCGGAGGCCAGCTCAGACCCAAATCCAGGCCATCAGATGCCAGGCCTCGGACGCTCAGCCGCATCGCTGTCTCTGTTGAGGCCCTGTGTAGCCAGTCCCTCTGGAGTCCTAGCTCTCATCTAACAGCATAAATGACCCTTTGGTTTGTAACCGTGAGGTACGAGTGTGGTGTTTGCTAATAAGGTCGCCTTGCCAGGCGGAGATGTCATGGTCATCTTGGCACTTGCGTTTCCTGGCTGAGTTTTCCTTTTGGAAGCAGCAGCCCGGGGGCTGTCAGAGAATGAACCCCGGAGTCTCCCCCGGCCCCGGGAGTCTGCTGAACCAGTTACATGGCTCTGAGCCTCTGAAGTGAGGCTTGTCAAAGTCCTCAAACATCCAAGGGATACACGGCCCTGACTCTCCACAGAGCTAAGAGCTGAAAAGATGAGGTATGAGAGGACAAACCTCAGGTGTGCACACCCAGCTCAGGCGTAATCCTTAAAAGTCGGTCAGTCCCCAGGGCAAAAGGAAGGGGAAATGAGCCAGCGCTCAGCAAGACACTGCATCTCCAGGCATGGCCCTTACACTGGACACACGCTCCGCACACGCTCCGCACACACTCGGTACACACTCCGCACACACTCGGCACACGCTCCGCACACGCTCCGCACACACTTGGTACACGCTCTGCACATGCTCCGCATATGCTGTGCTCATGCTCAGCACACGCTCCGCACACGCTCCACACATGCTCAGCACACTCGGCACATGCTCAGCACACACTTGGCAACACTTCGCACACTCAGCACACACTCAGCACACACTCGGCACATACTCCACACACACTCGGCACACGCTCCACACATGCTCAGCACACACTCGGCACACGTTCAGCACACACTCGGCACATGCTCAGCACACACTTGGCAACACTTCGCACACTCAGCACACACTTGGCACACGCTCCGCACATCTCCACACACACTTGGTACACGTTCTTCACACACTCGGCACACGCTTCACACACACTCGGCACACGCTCTGCACACGCTCCACAATGCTCAGCACACACTCGGCACACACTCAGCACACACTCGGCACACACTCAGCACACACTCCACACACGCTCGGCACACGCTCCACACATGCTCCACACACACTCGGTACACGCTCTGCACACACTCGGTACACGCTCCGCACACGCTCAGCATACACTCCACACACGCTCTGCACACACTACACGCATGCTCCGCACACACTCAGCACACGCTCCATACACGCTCCACACATGCTCTGCACACACTTGGCACACACTCAGCACACGCTCCACACACTTGGCACACGCTCCGCACACACTAGGCACACGCTCCGCACATGCTCCACACAGGCTCTGCACACGCTCAATTGTAAGAGGCTGACTGGAGTCCATACAAAGATCTTTCACATTTTGAGAGCAGGCTGTCATGTTAGGAAAGCCAGGTACCCTTCGAGCCGATGGACAAGGTGTCTGCATCCCCAATGCCATTTAGGGGGACTGGCCTTGAGGACAGGAGAGAGGAAGGGTGGCTTCCAGATAGGATACGGGGTGCGTCAGTGCTCAGCGCTCCACTGAGAGGAAAGGAGGGGCAATACCTAAACCCAAGGTGTAGGAAGTGTTTGCTGCCCAGTCTGGTCACTGCCTTCCGGGCCAGGTCATCCAGCTGTCGAGAGCCCTCATCGTTCACTGCGACCGAGAGGATCCTGCCCTCAGGCACTGCGCTCAGATACTGGGCCAGACGCTCACTCTCCTTCCTGGACCTGTACGTGTCAAACCTAAAAGGGCACAGAGATCAAGGATTTGTACAGCCTTGACAATAGTCCAAGATAGAGATAAAATCCACTTCTGTGGCACAATAATCAATACGCCATCCCAAGGCCCCAAGGGCGTCTTTTCATTGGTAACAAGTCAGGTTCAATTCAGGTCACGCCCTCTTAAGGTTCTTCACTGGCTTTGAATAAACCCAGCTCCTCGCTGGGGGCTCCAAGATCGGTGCCCTGCCCAGTGCCCTTCGACCCCGGATGCCCCCGGTGTCCCTGGCTGCCTTTCCTCCTCCAGGGGGCTAGGCCCTTCCTCCTCTCTGGCCTCTTTTGAACACGCTTTCTTCAGCCCCTCTTCACTGTGCGGTCAGTCTTCCCTGACCACCCTCTTCAGTGTGGCCCTCCACACGCAGTCTCTGCCCTGCCCGGCTTTCTCGTTTTATTACCAGGATCACACTTGGAATACGGTGTCTGTGTGCAGCACCCACGCCTGTTCCTGTGAGATTCAGCCCTGTCTGGGGAGGACGCGTCCCCCCAGGATGGCACTACCCACCGTCTAGTGCACAGTGCCGCCACCCGGCAGCCAGCGTAGCCCCGGCGGGAGCAGGCGTTCAGCCGGGCACACCGGGAGGAGCCCATGTGCCGGGCAGGCCGCCTTACCGGTCACAGTGGATGACTGAGCCTGACTTCGCATCAATGACGTGAACAATGACGCCACGGTGGCCCCAGCTCCTTTCGAAAAAATATCCTCCCTCCTCCATGCCCCCCGGACGAAGGGTCTTGCTGAGGAAAGTCCAGGAGAGCTTTTTCTGCCCATGCAGCTCGAGGGTGCCTCCTCTCCCAACGCCAATGTACTTCAGGCCGTAGTATGGGTCTGGCTGGGCCCCTGGGTCGTCAGCCCTGCAAGGAAAAGGCCCCCAAGGATGGCCAACCCTCTCCTCACCACGCTAAAGCGCGGGCCTGCTCCCAGCGCCGGGGCTGGTGCCCCATCCGCACCAGCGGTCACATCTGTTTCCCCAGCCTCTCAGGAGGCTGAGACCTGAGGACCGTAATTCCACGTCAGCCCAGGCAGGACAGTGCATGAGACTCTTATCTACAATGAACCACCAAAAGCTGGAAGTGGAGCTGTGGCTTAAATCAGAGCACTAGCCTTGAGCAAAAAAAAAGCTCAGGGGCAGCGCCTAGGCCTTAAGTTCAAACCCCAGGCCCAGTGTGCATGCACACACACATGTACACACTCACAAAGCACCAGCAAGGAGATTTTCTAAGCCACACCAGCAGGTGGCTCATGGGCCAGCAGGTAGCCAGTGCAGGGTCCAGTGCAGCTGCTGTCCCATGGGCGTTCACTGCATACAACGCTGGGGGGATCTTGGCTACCACTTTTAGAGCTCTCAGTTGCTAAAGAAGGGGCACAGCCAGAGGCAAATGCAGCCTGGAATTTCCTGCATCTTGTTCCTCATAACTCAACCAACTTGCAGAGCTTCCCCAAACCAAGACTTGATGAGAAGGTGGCTAAGCGGCTGTCAGGACTCCTGTAACTCAAGGATGGTGCCCAGCCAGAATAAATAAAGCGCCTCACGGACTGTCCCAGCTCTCCCAAACCCCGCCATCTGCTCACGAGTACAATCTAGCCAGCCAGCCAGCACGACCACTCTTGCCTTACTTTCTCCTTTTAAAATCTTCAGTTGACCTCTGAGGGTGCTCTCACCTTCCGTACAACACAATGCTGAAGTTGCCCTGGAAAGGGCAGAGGGCACTCCCAGCATGCAGTTCTCCTCCGCTGTCAATCAGTATGTGCCGGGTTCGTAAAACAATGGGCTCCTGGTAGTCCTTAATGACCAGCTTGCCTGGGGAGGTGGACAGGAACGGGGAAGGGCCGGCTGAGAATGCAAGTGTCAGGGGCCCAGGGCGGGCTCCCCAAGTCTGATTCAGAAGGCAAGAAGGCATCTCTTCCAAAACTTCTGAGCCCACAGCCTTGCCTCTCTTTCGCTTCTCTGCCCTGTGCTTTCAAGGTCTAGGCGGTCTGCTGCCGTGGTGCTAAGGGGCTCAGCGAAGGCCAGGGAAGCCGCAGACCACCAGCAGAAGCGCCCACACGAAGGCTACTTTCTTAAGGTTACACTTCATCCACTCCTGGGCGGATGGTTATCTTTTAAAGAATCAAATAAGCAAAAACATAAATCGTCTGGCCCGAACCCAACGCATGAGACATTTCCCGGCCCTTCAGGACGGTGGCTGCGCCCATGGCAGGTTCTGGGATGGCGGAAGGAGAGATGCCTACCTCCGTCCACGATGCTGATGGAGTGGACCGTGGCGGAGGAGGTGAGCAGCAGCGCCTCCCCCCGCCCGATGTGCACACCAAGGTCCTGGTCGTGGCCGGGGCTCCAGGGCTGCAGCTCAGGGCTCTGGTCAGGACACTCGGCGGCCACTGCTGAAGACAAGGAGAGGCCGCTGCTGCCGTCCGCCAGCACTGGGGCTGGGGCGGCTGGACACACGTGTGCAAGCCTCTTCACAGAGCTGTCTGGGGCCTGCCCCTCGCACCCTGCTCCGCAATCCTGACCAGGACTTCCCTTCTCCGCGCCAGTCCCCCCTTTGTAGGACAAAGGGCCAGCTGAGGACTCCCAAATCAACGCAACGGTTTGCCCAGACTACATGGATCCCACTCCATTCTGTCCTCTGGAAAGCAGCGTAGGAGCCTTAACAAAACTTTCTCCTTTTGCATGAAAATGTGACCTTTGGTTAATTTTCTACCACTGTTTCCCTGGAAACCCGAGAAAGATGGAATTGTAGAAACTTTGTTACCAAGCAACATCGCTTGTAACAAGCGGCTCCCAATGGAAGTGGGAAGAGCTATAAATACTTGATATTTTGGGCCTGATGGAGATGCGCGCAGGGCTTCCCTACGCACATCACTCTGGCCTCGGCTGTGTCCCTGGCAGGTTCCTGCATGGAGCCTCGCCTGTGGGGCATGCGCAGGGCAGCGTCCAGTGTCCAGTGCGCCTGTCCAGTGCTATTCTTGTTTCCTCTCCTGAGCTGTCTCTGGTAGAGCCATGGAAGACAGCTTCTAGGTGGCTCCAAGGATCTCTCCTGAGGACACTCCCAAGGGAGCCTGGGCGTGGCACTGGGTCTGACCCCACAGGCTGCCTTGTCCTCAAGATGTAAGTCCTGTCTCCAGCTCAGAACCCACGGCTGGATGCAGCAGCTCCAGGCCGGGCCTGAGCCCTTCCGGAGCCAGTACCACTGTGTCTTCACTGGGAGGCAGGGATAAATGGGTGCCGGAGAAAGGCCAGGGCCTTGGCTAAAACGTCACCATGGCAGCCACCCTGGCCTGGAAAGCAGGAGCTGAAAGCAAGCAGGCTGGACAGGACTGCAGGCCGGGGCTCCCTGGGCAGGAGCGGCGCGGGCCGGACCTGCGCACCTGACTTTGGGGAAGTGCACAGGCCAGAGGGGCCCGAGGCACGCCTTCAGATGCTTATTGTAGTAAAGATAGCATTTAAAAATAAATGCAACATAAGCCGGGCGCTGCTGGCTCACAGCTGTCATCCCAGCTACTCAGGACACTGAGATCTGAGGATCAAGGTTCAAAGCCAGCCCGGGCAGCAAAGTCTGTGAGACTCATCTCCAATGAACCACCAGAAAAACAGAAGTGGCGCTGTGGCTCAAGTGGTAGAGCGCTAGCCTTGAGCTGAAGAGCTGAGGGACAGCGGCCAGGCTGAGTTCAGGCCCCATGACCCACCCCAAAATTAAATTAAATTTAAAAAATGCAGCAAATGGTGAGAGGAACATGACTAAGCCCTTATTCTAATTTGTAAAATGTGAGTTCTCTCACATCTTCTGCCTTACATTTGGCTCATCTGGTCTCCTGAAGTCCAGATGAACTTGCCCTGTGCTTTCAGATGTTAGCCTAAAGCCACTGAGGGAAAAAGCTGAAGACAATGAGACAGACAAACATCTACGCAGAGCGTCCCAGTTGGAAAGCACTTCTGCCCAGACGTTATGACATACGAAGTGTGAAGAGGTCATCAACATCAGACGACCCAGAGCCTAAGGGGTCACTGACATCATTGACACACAGCACAAAGGGAGGCAGACATCAGATGACCAGACGGGAGGGAGCTAGGTCTCAGACGTGCATTGGGTTTTCTGACCCTCCAGAGTAGTTATAAGATTTTGAATTAGCTGCTAACACTTGAAAACTAGGCAGCTTTGACATAAAATCTCGTTTCCTGGTATCTCTTGAAAATGCAGACCAGCCTGTCACAGACAGCTGTCCTTCCCACACAAGGAGGACGGCCTGCCCGGCCCGGCTGGTTTCCTCTGCGTGTGTCGGGTGGTAGCTCGGCCAGACGTGGAGTCTGCAGCCAGCTTCGACAGCAGCCTCCGTTTTGTCGACCACAAGACTACAGCCAGGATGAGACTTTGGTGAGGAGTTGGAGCTCGGTCACCCTGACAGGGCCCTGGACCCTTCCTCCTGCCCTCCCCAGCAGTCCGGCTTCAACAGGGCTGTGAGCCGTGCTGAGATGCGGGACTGGTTTACTGCTCACCTGTGGGTGTGGCTCCAGGGTAGCAGGTCAGGATGAGACAGCTGAGGGTCAGCACAGTCCCAGGGACCGCCATGCTGGCCTGGTCTTCCCTGGAACAGAAGCACACCAGACTTAGCGAGCTGAGACAGCCAGGGAGCAGTGCGTGGCGCAGAGAGAGAGAGAGAGAGAGAGACAGACAGACAGACAGACAGACAGACAGACAGACAGACAGACAGACAGACAGACAGAAGGAGACATGGCTTAGCCAGCTGAGGCAGCAGGGAAGCAGTGCATGGCGCAGAGAGAGAGACAGACAGATAGACAGACAGACAGAAGGAGACATGGCTTAGCCAGCTGAGGCAGCCAGGAAGCAGTGCGTGGCGCAGAGAGAGAGAGACAGACAAACAGACAGACAGACAGAAGGAGACATGGCTTAGCCAGCTGAGGCAGACGGGAAGCAGTGCGTGGCGCAGAGAGAGAGAGAGAGAGAGAGAGAGAGACAGACAGACAGACAGACAGAAGGAGACATGGCTTAGCCAGCTGAGGCAGACGGGAAGCAGTGCATGACACAGAGAGAGAGAGAGAGAGAGAGAGACAGACAGACAGAGACATGGCTTAGCCAGATGAAGCAGACGGGAAGCAGTGCATGGCACAGAGAGAGAGACAGACAGACAGACAGACAGAGACATGGCTTAGCCAGCTGAGGCAGACAGGAAGCAGTGCATGGTGCAGAGAGAGAGAGAGAGAGAGAGACAGAGAGACAGAGAGAGAACAGAGGCAGTGGCCCATGAGCCCAGAGCCCTCTCCAGAGCGGCGTTGTGGCAGTCTGGGCGGATCAGGGCTTGCAAACCTGCCATCCTCCCAGATGTGGGACTGCCAGGTGATTCCACCCTCGGCACCCAAGGTCCCTTCCCATAAAACACAGAACAGAAATGGAAACAAGTGTTTTCCTTTGTTGTTTTTTGTTGTTGTTGTTGGTGGTGGTAGTTGTGGGGCTTGAACTCAGGCCTGGGTGCTGTCCTTGTGCTCTTCAGCTCAAGGAGAGTGCTCTATCTCTTTGAGCCACACCTCTACTTCTGATTTTCTGGTAGTTAATTGGAGATAATTTCATGGACTTTCCTGCCTAGCTGGCTTTGAACCATGATCCTCAAATCTGAGCCTCCGATTGTAGGCGTGAGCCACCAGTGCCTGGCTTTGTTCTGTTTTTGTTTTCTTTTTGTCTTGTTTATCTATCTTTGGGAGGTTAAGGCAGGGCAGGAGTGGAGGGTGAGCAAATGCAGCAGTGATGCTCACTGGGCACTATGTTGAAAATGAACTATATGACTTGCGGGTGGGGACAGGAGGGAAAACTGGAAGAGAGCCATGGACAGGGTGGCATTGTCCAAAAGGCAATGTGCTCTTTACCCGACTTCTGTAACTGTAACACCTCTGTACATCACATTCATCATAACAAGAAAACAATTTTTACAACACAGAACAAAAAAAAGTACTGAGAACAAACGCAATTAGATGCCAGTACTTGCTGTGATCTCGGGTTGTTTGTTTAGCCTCTCTGGGCCTTGCTTTCCTACTCTGCAAAGTGAAGATTTAAACGATCTAATTTCTAACTTCATGTGTATGCTTTTATTGTTTTTTTTTTTTTTTTGGTGGGGGAGGGTTTGTCAGTTGTGGGCCTGAACTCTGGGCCTGGGCGCTGTCCAGCTCAAGGTTAGCACTCTACCACTTGAGCCACAGCGCCACTTCCAACTTTTTCTGCTTATGTGGTGCTGAGGAATCGAACCCAGGGCCTCATGCATGCAAGGCAAGCACTCTAACACTGAGCCACCTTCCCAGCCCATGTGTATGCTTTTAAAGCTGAGTTTGGAGAATGGTTTTGAAAATTACAGATGCCTGCATGGTTTAGATCTTATTTCCTATCCAAGAGGAATGCGGGCCAAACAGCAATTGTCCCCAGTGTCTCTCCTCTCTTTCCTCAGAATCAGAGCCCTTGACTTCTCTCTGGCCACATGGCTGCCGGGGCTGCGACCTGGAGTTGAGCCTTCTGATATAGTGGACGTACTATGCAGTGAATAAATTCCAATAATGCCCTTGAGGGAGAGTCAGGAAGATTCTTCCTCGTTTCTTCTTTCTTCCTAGCTGGAATGCAGACATGGTGGCTGGATCTGCAGTGGCTCTCCTGGGACATGCAGTAGGATCCATGCACCAAGAAGGACAGAGCAAATAACTAGGAAAAACCCAGGCCCTGTTCCAGTGAGAGCAAACAGCTCCAGAGGACAGATTTCTTCTGAAGGGGGATTCAAGTTTCATTTATGGTTTTGTTTTTGTTTTCAGTTCCAATCCTGAGGTTTGAACTCAGAACCTGGGCACTGTCCCTGAGCTTTGTGTTCAAAGCTAGTGTTCTACCACTTGAGCCACAGCTCCACTTGCAGCTAGCTTTTTTTGTGGTTAATTGGAAATAAGAGTCTCACAGACTTCCCTGTCTGGGCTAGCTAGACAGCTGTGATCCTCAGATCTCAGCCTGAGAGGCCAGTGCCTGGACTCATTTCTGTTTTACGGAAGCCACTGTTCTTTCTTTCCTTTTACCTCAAGGGTGAATCTGGCAATCTATCTAAACAAACTTCAAGACAGGAACCCTTAAAACAAAGGCGCGAGAGTTGTCTTTCAGCACCTGCTGGTTGGAGAAGCTACCTACATGTTCAAGGCCCTTGTGACTGTGGAGTATAGATGGGGCTTTGGGAACAGCTGGCGCTGGTCCCTAAACAAACCCTCTTCTCCTGCACTGCAGGGTCAAAGCTCCCTCACCCACGCAGCCTCCTCCTCCAAACCAGTTCTGCTGCAAACCTGATCGCCTGGCCCTTGGGTTTCAGCAAGGTTCTTTGTATGAGCCCGGTGGGGTGGGGCGGGGCTCTCCTCCCACACAGGTGTGCGGGAGGAGCTGCGGCCCGTCCTCTTGGGCACCCGCCGGCCCCAGGCTGCTCTGTGAGAACAACAGGGCCATTCTGGTGGCCGGTCACACATCGCAGCCCCCGGGAAGGGCACCTTTCCCACGGCCCCAGCAGAGTGCCAGCCTCGCCCTCCAAAGCCGAAGGAGGGACCAGGTCTCAGGGGAACTGCTGCTCCACTCTCAGACCCAGTTTGACAAAGCAAAGGTCCTTTGCCAGCTGGTGCCAGAGAGCCCGCAGACACACAGGGCCTCTAAGGGAGCCCGGCGTGGCTGCCCAGTGCCCTCGAGTGGAAAAGGAACCTGGAGTGTGGTCCCCCCGGCTGTTCCCACCGAGCAGAGCCAGCAGCGCAGACCGCCCGTGTGCAGCGTGAGAGGCTGGAGACCTAGGAGGCCCTGATTATGGCACAGCTCATTCCAAAGAAAAAAATCCGCACGCATGTAAACAAGCCCACAGGGGACTCCCTAGCCGGACGCAGGCAGTGGCCGGTGCACACCACTGGGGCCTGCTGAGCTCAGGCCCTGAGGTCAGGGCCTCTCCCAGCACCAGGTGGCCCTTCCCACTGCTGACTGCGTGGCTGTGGGGTCTCCCGCTGGTGCGGGCCCAGCACCCCACACAGGAGCCTCAGACAACTTCCGCTGCTGCAGTTAATCCTGAAAGAGCCGGAATCACGCCAAGGCAGGACGGTTTCTCAACCAGCCACGACAAGGTTCCCAGTGGCGGGCTGGGATTCAGTGTCTCAGCTGGACAGTCTTGGAAGAGACAGAAGCTGCCAAAGCACCAGAAGAGCAGGGTGGTACCAACGGGATTCTGCAGGAAGACTGGCCGGCCGGGCTCTTCTGGCCATGCTGGACGCTTGCTGGGCTGGGCTGGGCTGGACGGCCCCTCAGCAGCTCTGGCAGAGTGCAGACTCCCTGGCCCGAGGTCACACATGAAAGCCTGGTTTTGCAGACGGGCGTAGCATCTCCAGCTCCAGCGGCTGCTCGGCCTCCTGGGGTGAGGAGCGAGTGGTGCTTCCCACCAAGCGCCAGGCTCTGCCCACCAGGAATCCAGGGCTGTCGCCTGCAGACAAGAGGGCATGGAAGGGGACAGTGTGTCAGAAAGGCCTCCAGAGCAGCCCCCAGCGGCCCCCCAGGTACCAAGGGGCCAGTCCTTCTATGGGAGTCAGACTGGGAGAGTGAGGGGGGAAAGGTCAGGTAAGCTGGGAGGACAACAGAGGGGAGGCCCGAGGGACCCAGGGGGAGGAGGCCCAGGGGGAGGAGGCCCAGGGGGAGGAGGCCCAGGGGGACCCAGGAACTCACTTTGAGGAAAAGGTGCATCACCTGCTCTGACAATCCTGCACCAACGTGAAAATAGCTTAGGTAAACTGAGGCAGCATCACCTCAGAATCACAAGACATTCCAGGGGAAAGGCTCGGAGTGCTGTGTCGGACCCAGCTCTCCGGGGGCAGGGGCTGCTCACACTGAGGACACAGGGCGCTTGGGAGCAAGGCCCGGGCAGCGGGATCGGAAAACCTGGGCTACCCTCCCAGCAGCTTCATCTCATCCTAGGGTAACTCTCTGCAGTCCCTCAGCCTCTGCACCTTAGTCCTCTCATAATTAAAACGGGTGCTGTTGTGAAGATGACCTCAGTGCTAGCCTGCAGTCAGTCAGTTCCTGTGAGTGCTAGCCTGCAGTCAGTCAGTCTGTGAGAGTGCTAGCCTGCAGTCAGTCAGTCTGTGTGAGTGCTAGCCTGCAGTCAGTCAGTCTGTGTGAGTGCTAGCCTGCAATCAGTCTGTGTGAGTGCTAGCCTGCAGTCAGTCCGTGTGAGTGCTAGCCTGCAGTCAGTCAGTCTGCGTGAGTGCTAGCCTGCAGTCAGTCAGTCTGCGTGAGTGCTAGCCTGCAGTCAGTCTGTGTGAGTGCTAGCCTGCAGTCAGTCTGTGTGAGTGCTAGCCTGCAGTCAGTCAGTCTGTGTGAGTGCTAGCCTGCAGTCAGTCTGTGTGAGTGCTAGCCTGCAGTCAGTCAGTCTGTGTGAGTGCTAGCCTGCAGTCAGTCAGTCTGTGTGAGTGCTAGCCTGCAGTCAGTCTGTGTGAGTGCTAGCCTGCAGTCAGTCAGTCTGTGTGAGTGCTAGCCTGCAGTCAGTCAGTCTGTGTGAGTGCTAGCCTGCAGTCAGTCAGTCTGTGTGAGTGCTAGCCTGCAGTCAGTCAGTCTGCGTGTGTGCTAGCCTGCAGTCAGTCAGTCTGCGTGAGTGCTAGCCTGCAGTCAGTCTGCGTGAGTGCTAGCCTGCAGTCAGTCAGTCTGTGTGAGTGCTAGCCTGCAGTCAGTCTGTGTGAGTGCTAGCCTGCAGTCAGTCAGTCTGTGTGAGTGCTAGCCTGCAGTCAGTCTGTGTGAGTGCTAGCCTGCAGTCAGTCTGTGTGAGTGCTAGCCTGCAGTCAGTCAGTCTGTGTGAGTGCTAGCCTGCAGTCAGTCAGTCTGTGTGAGTGCTAGCCTGCAGTCAGTCAGTCTGTGTGAGTGCTAGCCTGCAGTCAGTCTGTGTGAGTGCTAGCCTGCAGTCAGTCAGTCTGTGTGAGTGCTAGCTGCAGTCAGTCAGTCTGTGTGAGTGCTAGCCTGCAGTCAGTCTGCATGCCGCTGCTGTTTGGATTATGTCCTACGGAAGGTCTGGGAAGGGAACAGATTTGAACATCTTACTGGCTAAAGGACTGAAAGGCAAGTCCTGTGTCCAAAGTGGCAGCTGCTGTCTTCCTAGACAAAGAAGACAAAAAGATGGCACCCGCTATGACGACTAGATGAGGTGTAGCTGGTGTCCAGGGCAGGCAGAGGCGAGTGGACACAAGGTCCGCCATCGGTCCCCTCAGTGTGAAGCTCGGAGTGTGGGTTCTCTCAGAGTGTGAGGGCCACTGGCAGACAGAAGCCGGGACTAGAGGACACAGAGGCGGCGGCGGGGTGAAGCTAATATTAGCCATGGAGTTTTTCGATTACATGAGCCCATAAAGCTCCTTTTTTGTTAAGCCAGGGTGAGTTGTGTGCTTGACATTCACCATGGAAAGGGTCCTGACTAAGAAGAAGCCAAGGGTGGGAGGAAAGAGGAACGCTAGCTCTTTACACGCCCTTTGGCCTCACAAAATGTCCATCTAAGTTAGGCGATGGTGGCTCACGCCTAATCCTCGCCACTCAGGATGCTGAGATCTGAGGATCACGGTTCAGAGCCAGCCTGGCCAGGAAAGTCTGTGACACTCATCTCCCATGAACCACCAGAAACCGGGAAGTGGTGCTGGCTCAAAGTGGTAGAGCGCTCGCCGTGAGCAAAAGAACCCAGGCCCTGAGTTCAAGCTCCACAACAACAACAACAACAAACATTAAACATCCACCTAATCGCTGGGAGAAGAAGATTTCCTCTCCCCAGGAAAGGTTAGAGCCACAAAATGGCCATCACGCTTCCCACCCAAGGTCCACGCTCTTCTGCAAGACTCTGCTCCCCTTCCCGTCCTTCCCCGTGTCCCGCTGGACTTCCAGCCCAGGCCACAGCCAGACTTGCTCCAAAGCCTCTGGGTCCTCGCTCCATTTCCATACCTCCCCTCCCCTGCATCCTGTACCATCCTCATCCTCATCCACACCCACACTACCCTCCCCTGCATCTGCACCTCCCTCCCCAGCCCCCGCACCTCCCCTCCCCTCACCCGCACCTCCCTCCCCTCACCCACACCTCCCTCCCCTCACCCGCACCTCCCTCCCCTCACCCGCACCTCCCTCCCCTCACCCGCACCTCCCTCCCCTCACCCACACCTCCCTCCCCTCACCCACACCTCCCTCCCCTCACCCACACCTCCCTCCCCTCACCCACACCTCCCTCCCCAGCCCCCGCAGCCCCTCTCACACCAGTCTCCACTCCTGCCATGTTGGGCTCTGCAGCTCTTCCTGGGGCACCAGCTCCGCGCCCCAGGGCCTTCTCCTGTGCTCTTCCTGCTACCTGGGATGCTTTCCACGTTCCACCACGCTATTTCCGATAGCATCCCTGACACCTCCTCCCAGCTGAAGACAGCTCTATTCTGCCGGTACCTCGCAGTGCTCTGATGGCTTTCTCTGCTGTTGACATGATCGAGTACTTTTTGCTTATGGTACAGGAGCTTCATGAGAGCAAGGGCTGTGGTCCAGGGATCAGGAGATCCACGTCTCTCTTGAGCTTGTTAGACATGAGGGCTCTGCCCCAGGCCACTGCGCGGTGATCGCAGGGGCTGGGCACACTGGACCTTACAGACCGGCTTCTGAGGGCTCTTGCTCTTCGTGGCATACTTTCTGACCTAAACCTGCCCCTGTGTGAGGAGTCATGGCTGCTGGCTTGCCCTCGGCCCTTTCCATTCTCCTTCCCCACCCCAGCAACAGTGCCAGACACACCCCAAAAAAGACTGGCCATGAGAAGTCCTTCAAAGAGCCAGGGGCCCCGCGGGCTCAGGAGAGAACCCCTAAGCGCGGTGCAGCCCACGTGGCCCTGCCGGGTCTGGAATGTCATGTGACCAGGCCTGGCAGCGATCAGAGGGCCAGAGGGCTCGCCTTCCTCCAGCTCCCATCCACAGAGCACACGAACCCGGGACGGGCAGAGACAGGGAGAGACTAGCTACCCCTGTGTCCACCCAGATATCAGTTGATTTGGGGAGAGCATTCCAATGTAGATTGAAGACACCAGAACATTCCCCTTAAGTGCTTCAGCAAGCAAACTATAAACTACAGAGCCAAGATTCACTTGATTTTTAAACATCTCCTGAATTAAAATTGACATGTCATGAAACACTCCAACCTTACGTACACACGTGTTGAGATTTGACAAGTGCATTTGTCTGTATAACACAGGTCCTGTGGGGTCATGTGACCATCAACCCAGAAACCCCCCCATGCTTACACAATCCAGCCCCCCCTGCATTGAAGGTGTCAGCAGCATCCACAGATGGGCTTTTGCCTGACTTGGTATCAAGGCGTGGTGTGAGATGCCAGCGCGCTGTGCGTGTGCATACCACATTAAACCATGGCCTGTTGATTTCCAGAACCGTTCGTCAAATATTTTTGGACCATAGGTGATTTGACTAAAGTCTCAGAAAACACCACAACCAAGTGTGCTCTCCAACGTCACCAGCTGAGAGGAACGGGGGGTCTGGCCCTCAAGTCTGCTAGCGGGAGCCATGGGGACAGCCCCAGATGCAGCACCGACCGTGGTAAGTGCTCAGTAAACACCAGTGTACGTCAGCAGGAGGAGCTCCGTCTTCCAGACCTGGACGAACTACCCAGCGGCCCTGTGCGTCTGGGAAATCTCCGTGGGTATCTTTTAAGATAGGGGTGCTTCCTGATGGCTTGGCATATCCTGATTTTCTCCTTTTCCTCCCAATTTCCCTTTTCTAGACTGAGGCCATTCTCTAGCACATAAGTACAGGTATTAGCAGCCTCTGTCTGATTTAGGTTTTGAGAGAGTGCAAAGAAGAAGCCAGGCTTGGTGGTGTGCACCTGTAATCCAGCACTCAAGAGGCAGAGACAAGGGGACCAAGCCTTGGTTTCATTACCAGAGGGGGAGGGAGGGGGGGACAGGGGATGTAGACAGAGTGCTGGGTATGCAACTAGCACTCTATAAATGTCAGTTTCCATCACTCACTCCAACAGTCCAGAGCAGGGCCTGGCCCATACTTGGCTACACACAAGGATGGTCAAGAGACGCCTTTGAGAGTCTTGCCCGGCGAGGTCAGGACACGACACCGTGACCCCGTGAGCTCCCACCAATGGAGCGGCTGACAGTGGATTCTTGGGGCGACGCACTGTGCCCTCAGCCTGCGCCCCAGCGTCTGCAGCCCACGCTGGACCCACAGCCAGGAGTGGCTGCCAGCCGGCCCGCGCGTCTCGGCCTGGGCTCTGCCCAAGTTGGCTATGTGGCTCAGACCTTACAGAGGCTTCCTTTGGAAAAAGTTATTAGTTGCTTTTCACCATAAAATGGGAGAGCGCGGCCCTGGTCAGCAGAGGAGGTGGCTGCCAGCTCCGGCTGCCACCGCCGGCCCGCCAGAGGCCGCAGAGGCCCCGGGGCACGGTGCCCAGCTGGGATCTGAACCCACATCCAGCTGACTCCAGTTTCCCCCTGCCTCGGTCTGTTTGCTTCTAGCTATTCCATCTTCAAAGCTGCATTTCTAGTACTTTGGTATAAAAGGAACCTTAAAAACCCTTGAGACCATTCCAAACCTCTCCTCACTAGTTTGAAATGAACAATATACAGTTATTAACCACAGTCACCTTGCTGTGAGGAACACTGGCATCCTCCTCCTGTCATTGTAATTGAGAATGTCTGCCCTCTTCCGCCCAAAAAGAAGTGACCCGCTACTTTCTGTGTGGAGTTCCACCCTGGTCTCCATGTCCCTTCTGGGTCATCCTGTCTTTGGCGGCCAAGGTGGTGTAAGGAGAGAGGGATTCTCCCCACTCACCCCATGCCACGGGCTAGCAGGAGCGAGCTAAGGGCCTGGGAGAGTTCTCAAAGATGCTATGTGAGGATACAGGGGGTAGGCTGGCCCCTGCAGGGCCCCCGACGCTTACGAAGTCCTGCTCTCCCGTGCTTGCACACCAAGCCACGTTGGAACAAAGACAAACTGACAACCAAGTAAACACCACCAGATACAACACACACACTTCGTCTTTCTCTCCTTCAGTATGGAAAATGGGATAAAAAACCCTTGCTTGGCTGACCTCCAGGGTCCTGGCAGAGACGGCCGGGGGCACGCAAGGCGGTCTCCTGCAGTGGGTGGGGACATCAAAGCAGAGGCCTGGAAGCCCTCTTTGACTGGGGACAAAGCTGTGTTAAAAGCACATTTCGATGTAAGGGAAGGCACTGCCGGAGGAAATCTTCCCGAGCCGTAAAAGTGCTCTTCGCTTACGAAACCAGTGCCATCGCTCCTTCCCAATGAAAAAAGTCACAGTTAATTCTGAATTAAAGGTTGGGGCTGGTTGGTATGACTTGCGTTGAGGGCTTCTACGTGCCCGTCAGAGGTGATTGACTCACGGCCTGAAGTTTAGTGCTTTATCCAATTTCACATCCACAGTACATCCCACAGTTAGGCTCTGCCTAGTGGCTGCCATAGTTGCTTACTCTTCCGCTCCTGTTGGCACTGGCCTCGCTCTTGTCCCTGTGGCTGGCTGCCTGTCTTCCACTGCTCTTTTCTCACGGACTTCCGAGTCCACCTGAGTCTCCGCACCCTCACGGACTCTTCTTGGCTTCCACACTCAGAGTTTCTCTCTGTCACTGACAACCCCAGAGTTTTGAGAAGTAAGCAGGCAAGCAGAAAGACCTGGAAGAAAACTGGCTGCCCCTGGCCAGCCTCTCCAACACGTGCCATCATTCATGCTCAGAAGGCCCCAGTCCCATCCTCCGCACACTCGGCCTGCTCAGCCGCGCCTGCGGGCTTCTGACACCTCCGCTCCGAGGCCTGATTCCGCTTCCTTCTTGACCCACGCGTGTTCCGTGATCCGCCCATCTCTGCCATCACCCCACACATGACTGGTCCAAGCTGGCACTGGGGGTCATCGACCCAGCCAGCCTGTCAGGGCACCGGGGGTCACCGACCCAGCCAGTGTGTCAGGGCACCGGGGTCACCGGCCCAGCCAGCCTGTCAGGGCACCGGGGGTCACCAGCCCAGCCAGCGTGTCAGGGTACCGGGGGTCACCGGCCCAGCCAGCCTGTCAGGGCACCGGGGGTCACCGGCCCAGCCAGCCTGTCAGGGCACCGGGGGTCACCGGCCCAGCAAGCCTGTCAGGCATGGAGCACGCCACGAGAGGGCCGCTCGGGGTGGAAGATGGTTTTCTGGTCAAAACAATGGCAGTTGGA